CAGTTCAAATTTGGTCAAAAGTTTTCCTTTGGAGGTTTTTTTTGTTCTTTCTTAACTCATTTTTCCTTAGAAGAGTATCTCCTTACTGTATAAAGCACCCCCTTTTCATTAAAAACAACATTTAAACCCCAAACACCATGGCATGGTGTGGTGGGGCCTTTGAGCCTCCTCACCACACCACAAAGGTACTTCACCCCTCAACCCCTCCCAGCCCCTCACCCTGCCTCCCTCCCTGGCAGCATGGCCACTGGCGTCCCCCACAACTCACCCTTCCTGCCAGCCAAGGCTGGAGACATCCAGTCACTCACGAGGTCCTGCTGTCCCTCTCAGAGGGAAGGCCTCGGCCTCGTGCCACCTCCCTCCCCACAGACAAGCCACCATGGCTGGGGCCTCTCCTCTCCTCATAGCAGGTGGAACGTCGCCAGCTCCTTTGTAGGGCCTTTTTGCCTGTTTGGGGCAGGAGAAGCCCTCCACTTCTATCAGCGTGGGGAGCAGAGGGAAACAGGCTCGTGGATCCAGGGATCCTCAGCACCTCAGCACAGGCCCTGCGGCCCTTCCCGCCACCCAGGGATGTAAAAGGGGCCATAACCCCCTTGTGGGGAGATAAAACCTCTGGGGTATATACAATTATCCTTGGCCTTTTTTCCCAGAAGCCCCCAGATAACAAGCCCCTGGGATTACCTGACAGGGGAGCGGTGCAGGGCAGGAGGAGAGGGCATGCAGAAGCGGGAGCGGGAAGGGAGCAGGCGCTGGGTGCCCCAGTCCTCGGGAGGGGACACAAGGAGGAGCCTGAAGGAATGGGGACAAGGAGCTGCAGAGCAGCCTGTCCACATTGCAGCCACAGCCAGGCTACATGCCCACCGTCTGATATAAAAGCTCATTATCCAGGGGCTATTTTTGGCGCCCACTGAGTCCTTGATAGCTCACATGCTGCATTTTTACTCCTGTTGCTGTGAAATATCGTATCCAATCTCAGAAAAATCCCATTTCCCCCCCATTTTGTGCAGTATCCTCTGTAATGAGGAAACATGGCCTTTAAAAGAAAATCAGCAAATACACTCAGGCCTCAGTTTGCATACAGGCCACGCATGAATAATAAGCATGTGCAAATGCATATTTGGGAATAAAGGTGCCAACTGAATGTTTTAGACTTGAAGTTTTCACTATCCATACATCTATCTCAGCCTCAAAAACCTTCTATTCTTCTCTTTTCCAAATTCAGGGCATTCACAAGAAGAAAGTTACATGAAAACAATTGTCTTCTCTCTTTCTCACCCAATTTGTGGCCTAAGGCAAGGCCAATGTCCCAACTCTTGTAATTTTCACTAAAGGAAATAATAAAGTTAGACCCTGTTCCTGGGTCCTGCTCCACCCAAGGTCTGGGTTGGATCTTTGGATTACAGGTACCACTCACAGCTAAAAAAATATGTGGGCTTAGTCCCATGGACTCCTGATTCTTCCTTATCATGTCTAATGGAGCCTCTTATTCCTTTGAAAGAAAGAAACAAACTATCATTTTGGTTTGACAGTTTTATGTCCAATGTCATAGGTGCTGATGATACTAGATAAGCAAGAAATCAAGCCTATGATTCTGCCTCATCAATCTCTCACGTGACAATCAAAAGACATCCCTTTTGGGGGCAGTTGAGGCTTTTACTGAGGGGAAGTGGTGGGTTTGGTTTTGGGTTTTTTGCTGCTGAGAAACATTGTCCCCTTTACAGGACAGATTCAGTGTGCAATTATTTTGAAATAAACTTGGGAAAGGGTTTCCTAACTCTGCTTGGTTCTACAGGATATGCTGCTTCAACTGTAGGTGGGTCTCCTTTGGCAAAGAAGTTTAAGAGTCTATGTATCATCCAGAAATTTTGGGCCTGATTCTACAAGGTGCTAAAATGTACCTTCACTCCCACATCACCACATCAGACTCCTAAGGGATTCAAAAGGAATCTGGGGCACCTGACTTCTCACACTGTAAGGGACCAAAGTTTAAAGATGATCAAACATTTCTCAAAAAAACTGTACAGATCTGCATATTCTCAGTTTGTTCAGGAGTATAATAAATTGGTCTGTTTCATCAAAGGCTTGCAAAACTTCCACCGGGGTTTGCTGGAGATAGCTAATTGATTTGAGCTATATTCTGTAGACATTTTACACAGAAATCTATCCCAAAAGTCAGCTGGAAGGCTATTTGATTGCTCAGCTGTATAGTTGATACTCAGAAATGTGGGGATTTTTTCAATTTTTAGGGCCAAGCTTTTTTTTTTTTCCAGGAAGCAGTCTTTCCTTCTATGATTCATGATCATGTTGAATTGTCTAAGGTAGGAAATATCAGCTTGAAATTACTGTCATGTGCTATGGGAACCCAAAGGGAGAGTGTGGAACTAGATCTTCTCCAGCAGGAAAAACAGATGGTAAAAAATTAAGCCAACCATGTTTCCAAGTAAATCCTGGAATGCAGTATGCAAAACAACACGTGTTCAATCAGAAATCCTCAAAAGAAAAGATCATTTCCTCAAGCAGATTAGCTACCTCAGATGAAGGGCATTATAATCAAATAAGCAGCTTGCCATCCAGGAACCTCTGTAAGTCATGTTTTCCTTGGTTTCCTTATTTTCTGTGATTTCAACAGGAGCTGAGAATACTCAACACTGTAAAACGGGCTTTGAGTATGATGACAGGCACTGTCTCCAGACTTGAACTAAACAAAGACATTTCTCTTGATGCTTACCAGTTTTCTCCTAAACCAGCCCACACTCATGTATCTCTTTTGCATCATTAGTCTCACTTCTGCCTCTTATTGTGAATGATACATAGTATGTGAAAAATTCTACCACATATATTAAACTGTATACTGTTACTCAGTCTTCTGGACATACCTTCAGAGACATTCACACAACTGCCACACGGGCAAACAACAGGTAGGCAGAAACTTTACCAAAGATCTAGAAGGCAGACATACAGATTTTTTTATATATATTCACAAGAGCAATTGTTTTATCTTAAAACCTTTCTAAAACAGGCATATACTGCAGGCTTTGGCAGTAGAGATATAATATTACGGGATCCAGCCTTACTTTGTTTTTCTCATCCAAATATACACATTGTTATAACAGACGAATAGTTGCATCCAGAATTATTACTGCTGCTTGATGACCAAAATGCCTCACATACTGCTCCACACATGAAGCTACTGCAAATATCTATCTCACCTGATCAACTATAGCTTCTTTGGGGTGGAGGAAAAGAAAAGAAGCGCATACATGGTTCACTTAAAATGCAGTGACAAAAACAGCATTTGAAGGCATGTGTTCAAAACAGTCCCATATTGTTATTACAGATGGAAACAGTGCAGGAAGAGAAACAGAAGAAACAAAAGCCAGCTTTTGTGAGTTCCAGAGCAATCCCTTATGATCCAGGGTCTTGTATAAGATGATTTGGAAGCTTTGGAAAGGCATTCAGGGTCTCTCCCTGAATAAGGCACTGTAACACGCTCTCTTCCATGAGCCTGGCCCAGTGCCATAACAGCTTCTGCGTAATTCATTGCACGTTTTGCTAAGAGTTCTCTGTATATCTATATAGATATATATACACATAGACATATATGTAATTTTCCATATGCTTTCCTGCAAAACATCAGAAAAACAAAATCAATTACATAATGGAATAGAGAATCCAGAATATGCTAAACTTAGTACCTGCTGACATGTCACACGTGCCCCAAACTAAACTAGAGATGTGTTGATTCGGAAGTTATATGTACTCTAAATCTGCAGATGTAAATTATTTCTTCTCTCACAAAGTTTTCATATAGCCCAGCAAGGAGGTCTAATGTTTGACTTTCCAAGTAGCTTCTACCCTTTTCAAGCCCCATCATCTTTTCAGCATATTAGCACTATTCCTAGCACTTCCTTGGGTCATTCTCCGTGACAAAATGTTGATTTGGGACAAAACTAAACATTTTTTTTTCAAGTCTTAGAGTTTAGATCTCCAAAAGTAGAGGGTAGTGTCTTGAACCTCATCATCTTTCAATATAAATGCTTAAGAGATGCATAAAGCAGATCCCTATTCTTCTTTTGGAAAAATGCATATTCTTCAAACATCATTCTCCCTTCATCTTTCCTTCTGCAGCTGAAAAAAGAGGTTCAACTAGAGAGATCAAGTGGCTGGCCAGATTGTTTATGGAACACTGAGATCTTAATCTGAAGATTACCAGCCTGGAATCAAAGTCAGCAGCAATCATAACCTGTAACTGGCCAGAGGCCTTACAGTGAATGTGGGTGAAGTAAGCAATGAACCCTCACCAAGACTTATCAGTAGCAAAAGCATGGGCTGTTGTGAGAACTGGCTATCCTGGACCAGGCATCAATCCAGTCCTGCATACCATCTCCAAAAGTGACCTGAAGCAGATATTCTTTCCATAAAAAATATGCCAAGTGTAGTATTATCTTCCCACTCCAACTGGTCAGTGATTTAAGGACTGCTTGTGCTAGAGGTCATAACCTTAATGCCATGTTCAACAGACACCTAGGGGGTCTATCTTTCTTTAATTTGTCTAGGTTTTTTAATCCATTTTCATCTCACACAGTCTTCTGCATCAGTAAGCTTCACAATTCATTCTTTGTTTTCCTTTTCAGACAGTTGCTTAAAAATTTCATGAAATACCTTTTCATTTTCTCTTATCAGAACTAGTAAATAATGACCTTCATATTAACCTATTGTGTCTGCTGTGGCCATAAGCAGAAGCCACTGCCTCTGATAAAACACAGATATATACTGACTCTTTCATTTTACAAAATAATGTATTTTCAACCCTTTTTGATTCGGCAATTCCTAGTCATACTTTAGTGAAAGTCTTTGAGTCTAGGGCTCGGACACCCACTTGTTATGTTTCAACCATACTTATAAATTGGAATTTTTTACACAAGAATCTGAAAACCAGGTCCTTGATTTAACTAAACTACAGTTGTTACCTCCCACATGATGTGCTTGTGTGAGTTGACATTTTATCTCAGTTCTTCTTCCTCTTCCTCATCTTCTATTTCCTCTTCTGAGTCATCCTTATTCTTTGAACTGTTGCTGAATTCAAGGTTTCCTTCAATATCCAGTACCTGTAAGTGCTTTAGGTTTTGGAAGGTACTTTCCTTCAGTGCTCCAACTGCAATCTTATTAAACCTTTAAACAAACAAGCAAAAAGGCTTTCCTGTTAAAATAAGCCCATTTTTATATGCAGCACAGAAATGAAGAGACTAGGAGGAAACCATTCTGTAGAGTTACTCTGACCCAAGGTACTCTAATTTACACTGACTCGCAACAGCACTCCAAGAGTACTGACTCCTCTGGATGGAAAAAAGAAGGGAAAACAGGTACTGATCAGCAAGCAGGCAAATGCAGTGACTGAACAAATTTTGCTCACAGCACTCTGTATCATCACAAAGGACCCTGCAGGAAAATACTGAGAAACATTAAGTATCTCCCATTGATTTCAAGTTCACTGACCAACTGTTCGAAAAACTCCTACTTTTCTCTGCCCCAGGCTCTTCTCCCTTCTATACTTGTATTTTGCAAGGAAAAAAAATCATAATATTGGAATTCCTCCCCCAGAAATTCTTTCTCTTGGTATTCTGCTTTCTCCTTCCCAGAGAGGAAAGGTATCTGCTCCACAGCCCACATTTCAAATTGCTTTTTCATGAGATTCTGTGTCTCCCCTTGGTAGTTTAATTCTTCTCCCACAGAACTCAAAACACTGGTACAAAGTATCCCTTTAGAAACAAAGCAACATGCAATATTTTTTCATCTGTTATTTGGGTTTGTAAGAAAGTAAATAAACTAATCTGCTATTTAAGAACCTCTCATATATACTGCTTGGTCTGTTACTTTTGAACATTCTTAAAATCACATTCTGCCTAATATTCCAGATGTATATTATTGTTGCACAGCATTGCAGTGATTAATAGCCTTCCATTAAGAAACACAATTTAGCTGGGGTGGAGCTGCCTCCTAAATATGTTAGCAAAACAGTTTTGCAAATTCCTTTTTTCTTTTTATATAGAAATATAGAATGTGGTACGTGGTTTTTGGTTTGCATCCAAGCATTCACTAAAATCTCATAAATGTGAGCAGCTGAATAGACAGACTGCTCTAATTTACACCAGACTTTGTAATTTTATTTGCTTGGTATGGAATCATTCATCCAAAAAGGTATGATTCAGAACTATTCAGAACTACAGCACAGTTTATTTGCATACAGACAAAACAAGGCCTTATTTAGTCTCATGCAGCAGGCAGCCTAGGCTTTTTGAACACATCCATGGGATCAGCTTAATCAAATATTCTGTAAGATTTAATAAATTACTTCTAAGCAATATTTTCAATAATGATCCACCAGATTAAAATTTAATATATTACTGGGCCAGATTCTTTCTCCACTTCTTGTGGTATAAAACTTCACTTAAATCAGTTACAATACTGTGACTTCACATTATATGTAAAAAAGGTCAGTGTCTGTCACCTATAAAAACAAGGTCCTCATCCACCTGACAGAGTAGGAAAAAAACCAGAAAAACATTCTATAGTTGCATAACTGTCGCAGTTGTGACTTGTCATCTCTTTCTGACAAAACTATCAAGGGAATGAGCACAACTTCAAGATTAGCCATACCGGCCTCACTAGAGGGGGGGTGAGGGTGTGTGTCAAAATCCAGGGCTAACAGACACAGGCGAAACTGTAGTCCTACAAGTGGACTGTAAACTATTAGCTCACAGCTGTATATTGGAATATGACATTAATTTCCCAGAATTTCTAACATGTCTTATACATTCTAGTAAGCACAAAAAGGACAACTCTCCAAACAGAACATATTATGCGTATCCATGTCTTTTCTGAGCAGGCAGACATAGTTTCATCATACACTGCTATAAAACATTATTTAGGAAGTTAGGAATTTAAATACTTTCTAAAAAGTAACCAATTATAAAGTAGATAAAGAAGAAAAAGTCTTGCGTGTTGAAGTGGAAATTTGACCTTACCTGAGGTAAATCCCCTTTATTTTGGGTGTGGATTCAAAAGCATTCTCTAAAACCGTTGTGATCTTGTTGTTCTGAAGATACAGATATTCTAGAGATTCCGGCAGGCCTGATGGGATAGAAGTTAGCTGGTTGCCAGCCATGTCTAGTGACTGCATGGAAGAGACAACAAGGGGTCAAATAAATAATTGTATTTAAATATTAGCAGCAGTCCAAAAAGAGATTTAAGTTTGACAGCAAATAAGCTTCCAAAGGATGGCTGTACATGCACACTCCTCGCCCCGTTTTGGAAATTTATCCACTGTTTTTATATATATACACACATACACACAAGCCTATAAAAATACATATCTATATGTATGCACTTGTAAAAAACTTAGTATGGTGACAGTGCAGAAGTGAGATGTTTATGCAAAGCTTATCCAGATTTGTTGTGTTTGAAAATCATCTGGAAATGGGCTTTATTTTTCAGATGGTACTTTAGTGAGTCTGCTTCAGATCCTCTCCCTTCTAGTGAGGTCAGGAAAAAGATAAACACTGTGTGTACAATGGAAACTGCAAATTGCCAGCCATGCAGAAAGGTTCAGTTTGCATTCATGGTAAAAAACTGAAGTGATATTTACAGTAGTATAAACTAATTTACTTAACCTCTAATTTGCACCAAGGTAGGTGTGGCCATGACAATTCTGCTCTCTTACATTTAGCATCATGATTTCACATGAGACATCATACTGTTCTGTTTAGGAATCCAAACATTTCTTTATCTCTGTCCCTAGGCTTTAGCCCATGCCTGCTTAAAGTGAATTAAAAGCAGACTGTGACTCAAATATGCATGGGAATTCCTTGGTTGCTGCTACTGCAAACACTTCACTAGCTAAGGTTACATTAGTTAGACTGATATGTAAAAATACATGGTCCTAACATGGACCAAGGTATGGAGATATCAGGACTAAAGGCCATGATCATTTCTCAGATGAATTTCAAGGAAGGAAATGGATCAAAGTGGTTTTTTATCCTGTATTGTGCATTTGGAATGGCAGTGTTAGGTTAACAGTTGGACTTGATGATCTCAAAGGTCTTTTCCAACCTAAACAATTCTATGACTATGATTCTATGATACAATTTTCACAGCACCAAGCTGACATACTAGTTACACAGTATTCAGAGCTACACTTCTGCAAATTATTGTCATGTTTTCAGTGGGTTTATTCTCCACATAATCCCAGTCTGGCAAACAATTATGTAAATGTCTAGCTTTGCAATTGCAGATAGTCTTCAGTGATTTCCATGGAAACAGTGTGGACTGAAGCGTGTGCCAAGTACATGCATGATCAGGATCTTATGTGATGGTTATTTGTCAAATCCACTCTAGTGCACCAATTCATAAACCAATTGCACAGTTAAGCCCTTAATGATAAAAAAGATTCATATATCCTATCATGGCAATAATTAACAAGTAGTAATGCTGTTCCAGAAAAAAAAGCAACAGCTAAAAATATACCCTTAGCCTAACAAAATTTTAAGTATGTGCTATTATCTTAACCTTGTTTAACATGAACTGCAGGGTAGGTACAACTAAAGGGCCAATATTTGATTCAGCAAAATGTTTCTGTGGCTTGACATTGACTACAAGGGAGTGACAGTAAAATAAAAGTAACGTGAAGTAGCTACGAATCAGGCTTTTCAAGAAGGAAAGCTTGTCATTCCAACCAATAAGTAAAGCTGGCTGATGGGTGTCATGACCCGTTTGTGTTTGAAAAAAAAACCTGAGGTGACAGTGCCTACATTTCATTAAGCTACTGCAGTGAAACAATTCCCATCTGTAATTTGCAACAGCATCTTCCTTCCAGACTACTTTCCATTTTAGGATTTGCATGCATGCACACACCTACACACCCACCTATCACCAAGGCACCAAACAAATGCAAAATGTAATAATAAAGCTATGGACCAAATCTGCAGCTGATGCAGACCAACAGCTCTACAGATACTGTTGCTGCATTGCTGATTTACATTAACTGAAAAACAATCTATTGTTTATTCCCAGAAACACCCAAAAGAGATATGTACACATAGATAAATGTTTGGATTGTCTGCAAACACACTGGGGGCCAGTGTAACATATGCTCCATGACCCTTATCCCTGATCTGCTCTGAGATGTACAAGCTTTGTCTGTAGCGACCTGACCATATGCATCATAGATGGCTGCCATATGACATAGGTAATACCTTTTACTGCAGGAAACGGGCTGTTGCCTAAAAGGAAATGTAGACAAATCCTTCAGCCAGTCTAACAATTCTGAAAGGTCTTTTTGCACAGCACAAATGCAATTGTTCCTGACTGCCTTATGGTTTGTGTTTAACTTTCTCCAACAATTAAGCAAATGAGAAGACTGCTGATTGAATCCAGACCTCCTAGCTGCTCTCCAGGTGCCTTAGCCAGCTGAGCTGCTAAATCCTGCAGCTTGGCCTGTCTGACTATAAGCTGATGTGGGGGCTTTGAGAATTAAGAGTGGTTTTGTTTATGCATTCCTTCCTCCTGCTGTCTCTCTTCAGAGCTGATTTTAAATCTTTTGGGAAACAAGCTATTTGAAAGGCATAATTTCAGTTTTAATGACAACATTCACTGATGTTTATCTGAAACTCTAGGACACCATTAGTGTTCAGAAACAAGATGTCTCTACATTTCCCAGAGTTAGCAGTACACAGTGGACCACCACCCTGGTCAGCAGTGGGAGTACCCACCTCTGGCACAACAGCACATCATTTCTACTCTAGAAACAACATGTAGCACTTACAGTGCAAGCCCAAAACATGAGGACCAAGCGCATCTAGTATTGGTGATATACAAATTGGCTTTGGCAGACAGACAAGGACATCAGCATTACTAAAACAATTAGAGAAGGTGATGTTTCTACCTGGAGACTGCTGAGTTCTCTCCATGCTCTTGAATAAATGGAATTTACTTTCAGTTTATTGTTGCTCAAATACAGTTCCCGCAGCTTTGTCATCCCAGACAAAGTCCCTCTTGGGATGATGCTTATCTCATTCTCCTTCAGCTTCAGAATCTGCAAGTTCTTTGGAAAGCCAAAGGGCACTGTGTGGAGATTGTTTCCAGAAAGATCCAAGGACTTCAGTTGCCTCAATTTACGGAAGGCCTCCCGATGGATCTGGGGACTTTTGAGCTTATTGTAGCTCAGGTTCAGCTCTTCAAGGAAGTAAGTGGTAGCAAAGTCATTCCTGTTAATCTCAGAGATCTGGTTATGAAGGATCATAAGTGTTTTCACTCGCCGGGGCAGCCCACTGGGAATCCTTTCCAGCATGTTGTTGTACAGGTGGACAGTGTGCAGCTTCTTTAAGCCGTGGAAGGCTAACGGGTGAATACCTCGGGCTTTTAATTTGTTATTGTGGAGCAGAAGGTACTCCAGGTTCTTAATTTGGGTCAGGACATCTCTGCCAATCACCTTAATTGCATTCTTCTCCAGGTGGAGGAGGACAATGTTTCGAGGTAAACCACTTGGAATTTGTGAGAGGTTATTGCTGGACAAATCCAGATATTCAAGACTAGACAATTTCCTTGGGAAAGCAGGGAAGAAAACACTCTTCATTTAGAATCTGCAAGGTGAAATGGTAACCAGCTTCCCCTATGATTTTACAATCTTTGCTTTAGAGTCTTAATGGCACAGTTCCCATTACTGCCCTTTTTTGTCTTGTGATATGACTGATGTGGACAGCAAAACAAGGAGCTCCCATACTGCCATTAGGGACTCGGACTAGGCACTGCCATTGCTCCCCAGACACACTAGCAAGAGAACCTGCTAGAGTCCACAGACATCCACACTGCCACTGGGCTGAGACCTGAGATAAGCTTTGCAGTCTACTGTTCTCTCCTTTGACACCACAGATAGCAACACATGAGCAATTTCAGTGAACAAATACCACAAGAAAGATGCCATGGGAGCACCATTAGAACACAGAATTTAGCTCTCTTTTTCCCAGAAACATAGCCTGAGCATGAGTAATTTCTGTCTCTCTAAAAGTGTATATTGAAACTAAAAAGCAGGCCTGCTTTTTAGATGATGAAATATTACTCTTATGAAAAGCTAATTCAGTGTCCTAGGCTGAGGTAGTGAACTTCTCCTGACCCTCCAGCGTTATGGAAGTGAGTCAGGGCTAGAGCTGCTTTGTGTAAGCTACTGAATCTGGATTCCACAGACTCAGTTGAAGCTAAAATAAATCCTCAGACCAGCCACTTATACCAACTGGATGTGGATCAATGGTATTATATGCCAGGACTGAGGAGCCCTCTATTCCCTTGTATTTCAAGTCAGTCTCTCAGTTCAAATGAGACTGTAATCTGCATGGCACTACATAACCCACTGCAGATGACTAGAAAGTTTTCAGGAAATGTGAGAACTAATGCCTTACAGACATTACTTACTGGTTACTACACTGCTGTTCACAGCTATCCAAGTATGCTCTGAATGAGCAAATATACTCTCTGGGTAAAGCACTTCATTGCTGCAAGCTGTAACACTTCCTCAGCTTGGGTACATCTCAATAACGCTGCGCTGTGCTGTACAGACAGTATTCATGAGAGCAAGGAGCAATATCCACCCCCACTGCTGACTGACTGGTGCCTTACCTATAGCCACTGTACTCTGATCATCAAAATCTTAACAGAAATTATATGTCCAACATGACCTGGAGGTGGACACAACACAGTTATGGCAAATTACTAAGGGGGGTTTCTGGGAGTGGGATGCGGAAAAGGAAAGCATAGTTTGATACAATTTCATGTCTGGAGATCATAAAAGTTTACAGAATTAAGTTATGGGCAGGCCAGATTATGTGATCTGGATTTTTGGGTAGAACAAGGGCAGTAATTAGCACAAAAAGAGACACAAATGTTAACTTCTTGAATTGCTGTGCCCCAGGCTAAATTTAGGACAGCCAAAGGCTATTTCAGTTGTACCAGTTTGTAGCAAAGCTTTTGCAGCCATCTGGCTATTGAGCAGCACCATTGCATCCCCTCCTACTCCTGCAATCCATCTGCACTGAGGTACAGCTGTGCCAGATGAATTCACAACTGCGTATCTGTGGCTGCTTTCAAATCACCTTCACAGAAACACAGAAGTGGCCTTAGCGAAGATGAAAGTCTGGCCTTAACTTCCAGTGAACTTTCCTTGAAACTGGAAAGTCCCAAGTAACCTCACTTTTGACTGGTTTGGAAGAACAGAGACCAGCTTTCAACATCGTTCTAGGTGGCCCTTTCCCAGAAGGCACTTAATACCTGGTGTGACCGGGTCTGTGGCAATCAGGGAGTGATGCAGTCTGATGTTCGGTGTTGTGGGTTTTGTATAAAAGTATCCTGCAGTGTGAATTCAAACCTCTCATTCAGACCTTTGCTTTTGAATGGCAGCATCTGAATCTAAGACTTTTCATATAGACTTAGCAGAGAAATGCAGCTTCTCATAAATATACTTTTTAAGATATAATTTTTTTAGTCAATATACTACTGTACCAGAAGAGACAGACAGACACAAACAGAGATGCAAACTACAGATCTAAATCTTACCAGAAAGTTTCATTGTCCATTCCTTCATTAGTCAAGTAGTTATTCTGTAAATACAGCTCCCGCAGACCTGTAAGTTCACTGAAGGCTCCTTTGGGAATCTTCTCTAGCTTGTTGTTCTGGAGTCACCAGAAGCACAAAGCACATTATTTGACATGCAACGACATAGGACATTCAGGTTCTGCTCAACAGGCAATTCAACTTCAGAAGGACTAGACATAAACTATTTCAGGGGCCATTACATTTCTGCTTGAGAAATAAATACAAGTACTAGACTGAAATATTAAAACCTATTTTTATTGATTCCCCATGGAATCATTGGGCTAAGGAGTTAGAAATTGCCCCCATGCCAGATGGTTTTATTTTGTATTCTTAGTCCTTCAACCTATTGCAAATATATAATTTAATCTAGGCAACTACCTCTGGAGTTTGCTCAAAATTTCTGCATTTTATAAGACAGATTTCACCATGAAGAAGAATTAGGTTGGAAGCTGGGAACCAGCCATCCTTCCAGCATTCATGGCATTCCAAAAGGTACGGTTCCTGCAATGTAGATTCCAAAACAATTAGTCCTGTTGCCTTAGTGTGGCTTTGGAGTAGCCAGCAGGCAGATGTGAACAAAATATAAAACTAAATTCCACACAGTAACTGTAGGTATTACAGAAGAATATATAAAACACTAGGAATTATAAAATGATATATAAAACACTGATAATGAATTCGTTAAACTTCTCACAATCCACATATACACAATAATGTGATGGGCAGACTGGACTAGATTCATGTGCTGACTAATATAAAGTGGGTACCACCACAGAGAGATTTGGCTGAGTGTCTCAATGAACAGTGAAAGAAAAAAAAAGATCTGTCTCCTCTAAAGTACACCTTTTGGACGCTTTTGGTCCACTATTGGCTGTCTCTCATTTCTCATTGCCCTGTTTTTTTCCCAGTCAAAATATCAAGGTAAACGTTACTACTGACAGGCAGTGCACTTGAAAACAAAATGCTCATTTCTCTCTTCAGCTCCTCTGCCCTTAACACAACTGGTGACAGCAGGGAAGGATACGAGTTCAAAGTGTATTTCTCAAAGTCTGAGATGCCTTTGGGAGATAATGATTACCTATAAATGGCAATAAAATGCCATAACTTCACACTTTGCAGAGAAATTCCAGCAATTTAAAGGATCAGACTGTTTGCCTTTACTTTTCTTCAAGCTGGAGAAGCCTGTTTTCTAGAAGACTTTAATGGGAATTAGCGGTGAAACCTTCAAGGGAAAAGAAAGCTGGGAGGCAACACAGAACGGCCTAAGTCCAGGGGCTGATAACAGACTCCAGTCTACACACGTCCAAGGAACTGTCAACACTAGAAGTAAGCGGAACCAGGATTCCCCACTGCCGCAGCTCTCCCATTGTTAAAAAGGCTGAGACCTCTAGCACAGACATGATGAAGTGTTTTTAACAAAATCAGATGACACGAAATTAAAAATGCTGGAGACTAGTTAACAGCACAACTTCTGCTATTGCACTGTTGCTGGAGAAGCTGTAGTAGTCAAGATGATCCAAACTTTCTCTGTGTTGTCTGAATTGCCAGCTCAGTAGCAAACAAAAATCACTGATGCTAGGAAACAGTGGTCTATGTGAGATGAGTTAGTGAGCAAAGCCTGTACATAGTGGGTAAGCAGCTGTCAGGAAAAACAGCATCATCAGTGGCAAACTTAACTGGGAGACCAATCACTGGAAGGCCATGGAGAATGATCTACCTTCTTGTACTAATATGTATTAATATTATTATAGGCAGGGAAGAAACCAACAGTGCTACCACACAGGCATTTGCAATACGTTCCCCTGAAAACACAAAAAAGCGTTTTTGTCCCCTGTGAGCATTTTGGTGTTTTGCAGAAACACACTGTTACTTACAAACAAAAAAGTGAGGACACAGGAGACAGCTACTGTTGAGGATATAGCAGATGAGACTTACAATGGGCCTGGGAACATGTCCAAGTGTGCTGAAATGGCTTGGCTGTGTAGTTTGAATCCCATACAAACACAATACTTCAACACAATCGTAAAGGAATACAAAACCTTGTTGTCATTACCTTTAAGTGTAATTTATATAGTGCTGGAGGGAGATTCTTTGGAACATACTTCAAGAAATTGCTAGACATGATGAGTATCTCCACGTTATCAGAGCCATTGAACATATTATCAGGTAACCCAGCATCTGAAAGTTTGTTGTTGTGAAGATAGACAGATCTGTTGGAAGGAGAAAAAAGATTAAGTTAAATAGAGTGTGAGACCTGGGGTTTTCTGTTTACCAAGAGAATGCCATTTAAAGACTATATTTCAATCTTTTTTTCTTTCCTTGAGACAGTTAGTTTTGTTTTTAAAATGTGCCCTTTAATTTAGCAAGGGATATAGATGCAAAACCAAATGGTTGGTCCAAATACTATCTGAAATTTAGGTCTATTAAAAATCCAACCCTGCGTTTGAATACAAATTTCACAAGTAGCCTTACCTTCTTAAAAAGAAACTGAGTGCAAGTCTGGGACTGTGCAGTGCTTTGTAACAAAGAATGTCGGTGTGGTGGCCTCGCTCAAGAGGGTTAGAACTCATATCTGATTAATAGATAATGCCCCCAATTTTAACTTCTATTTGGAATAAAATCTGGGCTTCTTGGGCTTGCAAAATCAACCTGTAGATCTCTTAAGAAAGGGCCGTCTCTCACCCCTCCATTCTTTCTGCTCCCATGAAGGCTGGAAATACCACAGGAAACAGTTTCTCTCCTATTCCTAGAACTCAGAAAGGCATAGAGTACAGACAGCAAGACAGAGCAGATTTACTCAGTCTGGAAGAATTTTGGTTTTTAATGAACCTTTGGGATCAAGAGAAAGAGGGTTTCTTATTTTCCCTTTGCCCTTCTTACTTTTAATCTTTAATATTCACAGAGTTTCTCCAATCAGATTTTTAAAAATTGATTCATTTCTTTCTTACACAGGTTTTAATTCTGTATCAAACAGTTGACCCCTATGAAGTTATTCCTGCTTTTCATTGGCTTAACTGCTAAATGAATTCATTTGACTTCTTTTTAACAAAAGACATTATAGGATTTTACTAACTTCCTTTTACTGATTTACCCCTTCCTTTCCTGTGTTCATCCCAAGATGCAGTAGGCAGCTAAAACTGTAGAGAAAGGTTAATACTGCAAAAGAGCACAGTGTCATAGTGTGCTTTTTTAACTTCTTGGATTCTCTACCAGTTGCAGAGAACTTGCCAACATCTTTCTGGAAGGAAGGAAAGGCTCAGTATGGAAACACAATCATGTGATCACACACTCCAGGGAGTTCAGAGCCACACTGAAAATATTGTTCACCCTGCATGGTCAGCTGTACTTTTAACTCACAAATATTTGCCTTTCTAAAAACCTTGCTTTCCAAATAATCAGTCTGAGACCATGAACTCTGCTGGGGGCAACAAATGTATTAGGATTTTATATCAGCAATCTTGGAAATCAATGAGTTACTATTCTAATTAAAAATAGTGTTGGTATAGGAAAGTGTGAAAATCACTTCAGAAGAGTGCAAGAATTTTAATATGAAGTCAAAACACAGCAGCTTCTGCAACTCAGATTAAGGAACAACAATGTATAAATCTAGCTTCTTTCATAATGAGATATTGCCAGAAATCAGTGAGCAATTCAGCCTTTTCAGCTACCCAGAGCCTACACAACTAAAGGCCTAGTAAGTACAGAGCAGCTTCAGCTCTCAACGAGTTCAGTGGAAAGAGAGTTCTTCTGTTTGTCACAAGACTGGGCTCTAGAAGCTCAACTGAGTCAGCTATTATTAACTACTTTCAAACTTGGATGCATAAATTGCTACCAACAGTGTTTGAGATGTCTTTGCAGGATTTAGATGCTGCAGTGTCCATATAGATTATTCAAAATGCCTTTGGAAAAGACCATATCTCACAGAAGGTGGCCTACATGCATCTGAATTTGAGATGGGGCAATGTACTGCACTAGATCTAAATGAGAAAAATCACAACCTGAAATAAGTAGAGACCTCTGAAACCACACCTGAGGGTATGAACCACTTCTGAAGGTGCTAAAGTGCTTAGCTTTAATATAGTTAAGTTATACTCAACTGCATTGAGTAGTGTACTCTCGACCTATGTTTCTAAATGAATGGACTATAATAAAACCAAGCATTTCTAAACAGTTAACCTCCATTTTGAGAAACAAAAGCTGTCCCTTTCAGCTCATAACTGATACACACATAAAATGGAGACAATTTAATTTTTATCTATGCAAAAGTGTCTGGCAGCAAGTAAAAGCCCTTGGAATGTGTTCATCTGAGAGATTTTTTGATCTTTCATGCTGAGAATAACAAACCGTCACTTTCTTTCCAAAAAACATAAGTAGGCAATAACATGGATTAGCCCGATAGTTTCTTATCACTTACCAACTTCCTCCAAGCAGTGGCAGAACACTATTATTGTTTTACTTCCCGATCCCTTACCTCAAGTTTGGTTTCTGTCCAAATGTGAGCCCATATATCTTAGTGAGATAATTGGCTGCAAAATCTGCACTGATCAAGGTATTTGGTAGGAATTTCGGAGCCACTGTTAGCTGTAAAAGAAATATACAGGGGAATTCCAATTAAATGCCAGAAATGTTTTAACCAAGTATTAGACCAGCAACAAAACACTTGCAAATTTATTTTCTCTAAACAGGCAAAAATAAATGAGACTGAATGCAGATTGCATGAACAAAAACAAATTGTCCCCACTCACTAATCTCTCCAGGAAGGAGACAGACTTTTGCTCTAAGATATGTGAATGTTTGTTTTGGTTGGAAGAGTCCCGTCTCTTTTTGGTGGAAGAAATAAAAAAATTATTATTCAGAGAGCAAACATGTTGATTATTATTGTTCCTAATTCCCCGGTCTTCTCTGCCAAAAAAATCCGACCCACCCCACAGTGGCCCACTACTTACTCCCATATGAAAGTATATTGTGAGGGTAGGTGTCGCTTCATATGCCTGTTCCAATATTGCATCCATTTACAATGACCTTTTCAACAGAGGATTCAGGTTCTCAAAGGACAGGGATGCTTCTGAGCCAAATGATGGAATATCAAATGGGACTTCAAAACAAAGACCTACTGTACAGGACACTTTGTTCATTGAACAAGTGATGTATCAGAAACAAAATACAGAAAGGTCCTATCTCCAAAACTTTATAGTTGACGAGAAGTATAGGATTTGATGTGTTTGCTCTTGGCCTATTGTTATTTTGATCAGTGATTCATGCTAGGAATGTCTGCATCTGAACAAAAATAGGTGGGGTGAAAACTAATGATCAAAAAAGCTCAGTTTTACAGAGCATCCAGATAATACAATAGCTAGGTGCACTGAGTGGCTGCTAATAGCAAAGTCATTTGTCTAGAAATCAAGAATATGGGTTGGAGGGCATTTTTCTGGAATACAGGCTGGTTATGCATCAAATTTAAGCCCTCGGGAAATAAATTCTTAACATGGTGCTGTAGTAGGTATGATCCTTGAGTGCATACATAAGCAGAAGACTATTGAATTGCAGTAGGCAGGTGCAATCACCATGGTTACAGATGTCAACTATAATACTAATGAGACCACTCTGAATATTTTATATACACTCTGAAAGGCTAGTTTATATACATTCTGAAAGGCTCTGGAGAGAACATCTTTTCTAGGGAGATACTGAAAACTTTTATCATCTAAAGCTGAGATCAGGATGGGCAATGAAACTCTGGGCAATAAAAGAGATCTGCCTCCTAGCTTGAAATTCTTTGAATCTGTAAAGCTTCTTCCTCACAGCACTGTTGCATGAAAAAGAACTTAGTCCTTATAGCCAGCAAGGCACAGCAAGACCCACATGATGAAAAACCACATTTTTCAAATTTTTATTACAATAAAACTGCAGTTGGTTATTAATAATAGTGGAAAGCAAAAAATATTTAAAAGATGAACAACGTGTGAGAGAACACTTTACCAGAGAACTGTCTAACCCAAGCCTTAAACTATGTGTTTACCTAAAGGGTGCCTACATCTCTCTCTACTAGTTTATCAAGTGTACACTGGTGGACTATATCCATGAACTTGCAATTTACTGGACTCATAATACAGTCCTATTTTTTAAAAGATGGAAGTGTATTATTTACTGTTTTTCATTTTCACCTGTGCCAAAACCTCCATCCTTAAGCTGTCTTAAATGTTTAATGGTCACAAACACAAGAAAGATCTTTCCCACAAATGAAACTCCTACCAGTGTTTCCTGATAGTATGTAAGCAGTGGAAATAGGCATTTTACATATTACTACAGTTGCCATAGTACTGATTGTGGCTTTACCAACAATCTCTCGCCTCCTGACCTGGGGCATATGATTTCAGGAAAGTGGATGAAGGCACTCATCTCTGACTAGGACGGGCTGACAGTGCCTCAGAAGGAAAGAAGTCTTTACCATGACATAATATTGAGAATTCAGACACAGGAAATAGACTTAATCACTTTCATACATGGTGGCACATTAAAGCTTTTCTCCTGAAACACGGTCTATTAGGTCATAACTTTTATACAAAACAAAGGGCATGGCTCAGATACGTGAAATGAAAGCCATCAGAACCACAAGAAAGAGGAAAAAGAGAAATTTCATCCAAAAGGAGTTTTCACTTGCTGAGGACTTTGCTTTGGCATTTCAGCACTTAGTCATGAGACTAATTGATTGGTTGACTGCTTGGAGGATTAATGCTGGGTTGTTGTAACTGTTAGCAAAAATAAAATCAACTGTGTAGCTTTGTCTAGTATATTGCCTGCTAAGAAGCAATCTGAATTTCTCCAGCTTCAATTTTCTTGCAGCTTTACTGCTGGATCTTCCTTTCCATATGGCAGACTGTTTCTCCACTGTTAACTAATGAGTTAACCAATAGACTCAGAAGGATTATACAAAAGTTATTACCAGTTTTGGAACAAGTTTTCTTGCTTATAACAAGCTTTGATATAAACAGAAGCACTGGATCCCAGCGAATCCCATAACACTTTGGGAATACGGAGGAATGTAAAACCTTCTGTCACCCAAACCACCCAAATCACCAGCTTACTGTGGCTACCACATGATAGATACAAATTATGAGAGTGAAAAATTAAAAAGGAAACTACAGCATCCGTTCTTTAATTGAAGTTCTTGCTACTCATAAGCCACAGAAGGCTTTTAGCCTATTGATATATTTCTTTTCTCCAACCAACTACGCTAGTTTAACAGAAGATTATTTAGCTACATCTGATGGGATCACAACAGAAGATAAAGCAGCATTAAGATAATCCATAAAACAAGGAGCAAACTACCAGCAAATCCTTGCTCTCCTCCAGACACCACAGTTACTTGATCTGCAGTGTTGCCTGCTGCAGAGTGGATGCAGTTTGAAGCCAATCTGGTTTGTCCTGGCTTGTGATTTATAAAGAGATGTGTTATTTTTGTGAGTCCACAACTTCTCACTATAACTAGTTCTGACATTCGCTGATGTTTGCATTTTCTTTTGGGATCTTTTTCTCTCTGCAGTAAAGCCAGAAAAACCAAACACTTTGTTTTGTCACACAGGGAAAATTGGAGTGCAAAGTTCTGGAATATTAGTCACAGTCTGGCTTGTTCCTTTTTATGGAGTTATTAACTGCCAAGATTGTTATATGGAAATGGTGCTTGAAAGGGAGAAAAGAACACAATGTTACTGTACTAAGGAATGGGTTCTATTCTCAATCACTCCATACAGAAATCTATGGAGTGATTCTGGATACATCTTGGCCCGAGTGAAACCTGAATGTGGCCTCATGTATATAAACAAAACATAAAAAGGTTACGGATTTTAAGAGGATAATAAAAAATATATATAGACATGCATACAAATATATATAGAGAGAGAAGGAGGGAGGGAGGGAGGGAAGGGAAGGGGTTTTGTAGACAAAAGAAGCTCTGCCTGATGTTTTAACATTTTTCTGTGGCATCCCAGTTCCATCTGTAGCAAATATTTGTGGACAATCACCAGGAAAAAAGAAAGCCATAATGGGAGCCACACGGATATAAGGGTATGTGAGAAGGTATTTCATTTCCTAGCCTTGGCAGGAAAGATGTGCTTCTGTCATGACATCCAACTTGGGTCATTAATAGGAAAGCACCTACGATCTTCTCCATTAAAAAAGAAATTCAGTTCCTACCACTGCAGCTAAAATAAAAAATTCATTACTTGCTCAGTTTCACTGTGTGTGGGCATCCCACACACACATCAAACCTCATGAGTCAGGAAAAACGGGATAGCTTGTTACAGATCTTGATGGCTCAAACACAGGAATTAGGGTGTGCTTATTCACAGTTTTTTCAACCAGGCTCATCTGGTGAGATTTCCAGCATTTCACATCATTACACCACAGCTTATTTGCATACAGGCAACTACCAACTCTGTGTGCAGCTGATCCAAAGCCTACTGAAAAGAGTGGTAATTTATAAATGCAGGGGTTGTCTGTACCTCCTTGCACACACAAGGGAAACCTTTCACCAGTTGCACAAATAAATACGTGTTCAAAATAGACTGGCATGTGTACCCTCTAGTTTTTTAGCATACTAACTCATTGCCTTCACCTTAGATGAACATGCATTAGAATACCACTTCAGCACTATTTTACTTACGTAGGATATGTATGTTAAAAGAATTGAAGACTGGCTTGTTTAACTTTCAGAACCCAATTAGAAAAGAACTCCGAAAGCCCTGTGAGCCTCTTACCTTATTGTTTGCCAGGTACAGGTAATTCAGGTTCTCCAGATGCTCAAACGCTTCCTCTGGCAACCCTTAAAAACAGGAACAACTAATCAGTGACATTGGCACCTCACTGCCTCTCTGGCTGAAAATACTAGAGGGTAGCTTTCTCTCTCACATAATATCTTTAATGTGAGATTTAAATATTTAAATATTTTTCATTGCCACTGAAACAATCTGACTCAGACCTACTGTTGTCTTTGGGGTTTTTTCTTTAATTAAAAAACAAACAAACAAAAAAAAAACCCCAGACTGTCAAAAGCAATGGAAGACCACTAAAAACCCTAAGCATGAAAGGCCTGTGGCCAGCCTCGCTGGCAAGGGTCAGGTACAGAGCTGTGTAGACTTGCTGTACGGCTGATTATCAGTGCTCGCAGCAACCATGCTGAGAAGTTTCTTTTGTCATTTGCTCATGAATCTGCAAATCATTTTTCTTGGAAGGACATAATCTGAGGTTGTTTAATGATCAGATCAATCTGATCTATGACCATGATGTTGCCAAAATAACACCAGTATCCGTATGTCATAACCATTCCTTTGTTCTGCTCCCCAACAATCCAGATAGCCAAGCAGTAACCAGCTCAGAGAGCTGATCCAACTCACAGCTTACCCTCCTCCAATAATTTTTAATTTTCAGCTGAATCACTCCCTATCCAGCTGATCACACAAGCACAATTGCTGTCACAATGGAAAGGCTGCAAATAACATTTCCACCTGGCACTTAGATAACCATAAGTCAAAGGTGAAGCTATTTCCCACGTCAAAGCATGTTGGAAACTCAGGGCTGCACTGAAGCTTGTGAAAGAAACATCAAGCCCCAAGGTAATAATGTCACAGTCTGAATCTACTAAGCACAACCTTCCTTGTGCTATGTAAGAGAGTTATGTTTTGGGTCCCACACATAATATGCTCACATTCTCGATAAAGGGTGTTCTCCATCACTGGAAAAAGGATAGCAGCAGCATTCAGAGCAACTGGGTGATGCACAAGTTAACAATTATACCTTTTGTATTGCATATCCTCTTCTCTTACTATTTACTCCAATTCCTCTGTTTCTTTTGCTTCCCTTACTAACCCCTTGTCAAGTTTCTCTAACAAGTGTGTGACTTCACAAGCAAAACCTGCCTGCAAAAATCAAAACAGTTTCAGAAGGGCAGAAGCTGCCTTATTTGTAATATGTGTTATTTATATTAAATTCGACAAGGACTGAAGTGGACTAAACTGCACTCACTGACTGACTAGACTGAACCAAACAAGTGGATTAAGAAACAAGGTCAGTCAGAAGGAAATCATTCAGCATGTAGACATTTCTGGTTCTCAAGGCATTGATGTGCCTGTGGGACTGGAGGGAGTTTCCTGGACAAGAAGATCTCACGCCACAGTACACAGTGCTGCTGCCAGGTCTCCTCCACTGGTTCCGTAAGGGTGCATTCTTATACACTGAGTGTTACGTTTCAGATGATAAAGTGCCTCCATGATCTGTGGGATGGCCAAAGGAGTGAGGGTTATAGCTAACCCACTCCAGCCAAGTCAATCCATCACTCTGCAGCTTTCCTTATCGGCTGTCACTGGTCTCACTGCATAAGCTGGTAGTGTGGAGGCACAGGCTCTGTCCACTTGACGGCTCTGCCAGCTCACCTTTTGAAGTTAGCCTGTTGTTCTGCAAATTGAGAGTTTCCAGTCTGTAAAGACGAGCAAGCTCTTCTGGAAAGATTTCTTCTATCTGGTTATTCTAAGAAAACGGAGAGTATTAATCATCAGCAAAGCAATCCAAGCAGGATCCCAATAAACCCAGACAGTGAACTCCAATAAAATTTGGAAATGAACCCACCATGTCAAACCATTGTCAACAGACTTCTCTCTGTAATGAGCCAAGCTCAGATTTCAAAACCAAGACATCCAAACCCAGCAACATTTGAAGGCATAAACCAAGTTCTGTAGCTTGTGCTCCTCTCCAGAAATATCCAGCTTATGCACTGGTAGTGCGCAAAGAGTGTGATAATGCCTGGCAAGGCCTATAATCCATCTGCCTCAGCCAAACCTCCTAGCTGCAGCAAAGCATTTGCTACAATGTTGGCACTGCAGATTCCCAAGTTTATTACTTCTGTTATTTATGTGTTGTTTTAAAAACAAATCGTCATGAGCAGGGAGAGTCAAACCTGGCTCACTTCCTCTGGTTCTACTGTCAGGGGTGACTGCCATCAGATTTTCATTAACATGCTGACTACCATTTTGACCATTAATGAGCGATTCTAGTGTTTTAGCATCTAGGGGACTAGTCAAGGACCCACTGTGCTGGAAACCAGGCCAATACACAGAAAGCAACAGCTGCTGCTACAAAAAACTTCTCTGCTGTTGGCAGTAGAGGTGGGAGCCATGGCTGGCACACGCCCGGGACAGATCTGCTGAGAAAGGTACCGGCTTACATTACCGTTTTTCTAACTATGCCGCACTTGGATGGAAAGCTCTGAACAAAATCTGCAATTCACCCATTGAAGAGAATTGGCAAATGGGAGCAATAAACAAAAAGCAGTTGGCTAAGGGCCAAAGAGGCACTGAAAAGCCTGGAACTACTGCCACCGCTCGGAGGAGGAATGACCAGGGGGCTGCCACGCTCCAGCCCTGCCCACGTCCTCAGCCATCAGAGCACAAGCAGGGAAAGGATGCCTGCCCAAACGCTGGTCATGGGGATCAATTAACAGCAGAGCAGGGAAACCTGCTGACAGTCTAGGGCAGACTGCTGCTTCTACCTGAAGCTTGAATCTCATATCCTTACACGCCCTACTCCCAAAAAGGCATGAAGTCTCTGCAGCACAACCATTTGCTGCAGGTGTGACTTTCCCGGGTAAAATGACCCAAGAGTCCCCCGGCCGCATGCAGCCCTGCAAGCCCAGCACCCGCTCTCTGGGCGTCACAGGCGGCGCCACCGCCCGCCGTGATGGATGCCTTCGGCCATGCTACGCCTGCTCCTTGCCGAGTCCACGTGCTGCAGGGAGAGACGGGGCACTGTGGGACACTGGTTGGGTCTGTGGCTGGACTGGTACACTCTGTTCACAACACTTTAACCGAACACATAGTGCTGCCAGAAAAATTCTCATTAATGAAGTCATTTAGCCCCTCCTTATGAAAGACACCTCAAAATGAAAGGTTTTCAGCAGAAACAGTAATTATTAGTTTGGACAAAAATTCTTCACTTGGGGCTGGGAGAGAGAATAAGGAGAAACATTTCCTATCGTTCTTCCTCCCTGGATCTGTGGGGAAGAGAACTCACGCCCGCACCCAGGCGCGTTTGGCGAGCGCGAGCGCTGGGGCCTGCTGCACCTCCTGCTTCCGACGGCAAGCCGGGGAGCCGCTGCAGGAAGTGGAAAGGTGCCGGGTT